GCTTCCCTCCTAACATGTGCATATGCTTGCTCCACTGTTGAAAACAATTTCATTTGTAAAACGCCGCTTCTGATATTATCTAAGCGGTCATCAAGTCTATCCAAAAACACATTCACCCGTTCTTCTTGGACAAGTGTATTGTAGTGTTGGATATCAACTTGACATGTCATTGGATTTGGACGACGAAAATCTATCTCACATCAAAGTCCTTGGAGATCGTTATAATATTTTTCAAGAGAACCACCGGCTTGTTTAAGACGTGTCACCCGTCGCCAAAGGTCATACACTTGGGAGGTATCACTGCCATCAAAGTACGTGGTTGCAATTGCATCCCACACCAGCTTGGCAGTGGAGAATCGAATAAAGTTGCTGATTTGAGAAGAGTCCATTGATTTGATTATCCACCCCTTAACAATCGCGTTGTCAGTCCGCCAACGTCGAAATGCAGGATCTGTTTGAGGGGGTTGCGGGAGGTCTCCGTTGATATATCCCAGTTTGTCTTTGTCCGAGATATACATCTTGACCACCTGGGATCAAAGGGGATAGTTGTTGCCATCTAACTTGATGTCAATCGGTGCCACTGTATGGCCAGATCCAATTTGTGACGGGGCTGAAGTACGGTTCAGAACTTCCGTCATTTTCGTCGTCAACTCAGCAAGAATAGAAGACGAGGTAGTCTTATCGGAGTTTGAATCCGAGTCGGCCATGGAAGAAGGATAGAAAGTGTTATCGTAGGTCTGGATTAAGATCTGGCGGTTGATACCATGTTAAACTGATATAATACTTTCATATATTTCAATTGTTTATTACAAAGGAAAATTAGTTATATTTATATATATATATAAATCCTATTTCTAATTATAACTAAATCAGAATAATTATAATCAAATTAGAGTAATTAACCATTAATAACTATATTTCTATTATACTTTCTCCAATTTTATTGACAGCTAAGGCCAACAGTATCTTCATACAATATTACAATATAAGTATCAACTTGAGACATTGTATTCCAAGGTAGTTGAAAATGAAAATGTGAATGAACAAGAAACGAAACTCCAAGGCAAAGGATGCTATTGGACTAAAACAACGCGTTTAGAAAAAAAAGACATAGCAAAATTTCAAACATTCAATCACCAGCTTATTTTGACCAGACTTGTAAGCATTCAACATAACGCAATCACTATTTAAATGCCACCAAACTCAACATATTTCTTAACATTCATTCACATTATTTTTTTCCCTTAAGTTCTCTCTCTCAAATATCAACACATATTTTTAACAATCTAGACATGGTTCTTCAAGTTCAGTCACCACCAAAATTATTGGCTCTCTGTTTCTTTCTAATTCTGGCGAATTTCTACATAGCTGAGGCTGGTATTAGACATTATAAATGGGAGGTGAAGTATGACTTTAGGTCCCCGGATTGTTATAAGAAACTAGTTATAACCATTAACGGAAAAACTCCAGGACCCACCATTGAAGCAAAAGAAGGTGATACTGTTATTGTTGAAGTTAACAACAGTTTGCTCACAGAAAATCTTGCCATCCATTGGCATGGTATCAGACAGATTGGAACTCCTTGGTTTGATGGAACAGAAGGGGTATCTCAATGTCCTATACTACCTGGAGACACCTTTGTTTATCAATTTGTTGTTGATAGGGTAAGTTGTAAAATACAAAAAATGAATGAATTTTTGCATGTTTCAAGCATAACGAGTTTAACAAATCTTAACATAAAAATTTGTTCACATCTAATTTGGTAGCATGTTTAATGTAACAGCCTGGTACATATCTTTATCATGCTCACTATGGAATGCAAAGAGAGGCAGGGCTATATGGAATGATTCGTGTCGCTTCCAAGGATCCTGAACCCTTTTCTTATGACTTTGATAGAAGCATTATTCTGAATGATTGGTTTCATAAGAGTACTTATGAACAATCTGCTGGATTGTCCGCAATCCCTTTTCAATGGGTGGGGGAACCTCAGGTAAATAAATTGATGTATACTAATTCAAAATCTACAATCATATTTTTTTCTTCTTTTTTCCAAGTGTCTAACTGTTGTTCTTATTAATTCTTTGTATATTTGGTTTCACTAGTCACTTTTGATTCATGGAAAAGGAAGATTCAACTGCTCCTCCTTAACTGCTGATGTTTGTAACTCAACAAACCCTCAATGCTCTCCCTTTGTGCAAACTGTTGTCAAAGGAAAAACATACAGAATTAGAGTTGCAAGCTTGTCTGCTTTATCAGCTCTTAGTTTCCAAATAGAGGTAATCATTCATTCACTTGATCATTCTAAGTATCATCTAGGGTTTTAAAATAAGGTCTAGGGCCGGCGTCTAAGTTGCAACATCATGGTTTTTGATGTATATGTGACACTGTTGTGACATTACTAACACAACCGCAATTTAACCTTGATTTCTTTTTCCTTAAATTGCTTATGTACAACTAGTTTTAACATGTTTCTAATGTTGCAGGGTCATAATATGACTGTTGTTGAAGCAGATGGACACTATGTTGAGCCATTTGTGGTTAAGAATCTCTACATATACTCAGGTGAAACATACTCAGTTCTTGTGAAAGCCAATCAAGATCCATCAAGAAACTACTGGATCACCTCAAATGTTGTAAGCAGAAACAGAACAACTCCACCTGGTTTAGCCATTTTCAATTACTACCCAAACCATCCAATGCGGTCCCCACCAACATCTCCCCCTCCTCCGCCAGCTTGGGACAATGTTGAGTCAAGACGAGTTCAAAGCCTTTCAATCAAAGCTCACCCAAATTACACAATCAAACCTCCCACAACCTCAGATAGAGTCATAGTTATGCTCAACACACAAAACACTATAGACGATGTTCGCCATTGGTCTGTTAACAATGTATCATTTTTCCTACCTCACACTCCTTATCTTGTTGCACTCAAAGAGAACATAAATGGTGTGTTCAACCAAACACCACCACCTGATGGATATGATTTTAATAACTATGATATTTTCAGCGTGGCTAACAACACGAATGCTACTTCTAGCAATGGAATTTATAGGCTGCAGTTCAATACAACAGTGGATGTTATACTTCAAAATGCTAACACTATGAATAAAAATAACAGTGAGACACATCCTTGGCATCTTCATGGACATGATTTTTGGGTACTTGGATATGGAAAGGGTAAGTTTGATGTAAACAATGACCCCAAAAATTATAACTTGGTGAATCCCATTATGAAGAACACTGTGCCAGTGCATACTTTTGGTTGGACTGCTCTGAGGTTTCGGTCGAATAATCCTGGTGTATGGGCTTTCCATTGTCACATAGAGTCTCATTTCTATATGGGGATGGGAGTGGTTTTTGAAGAAGGAATTGATAGGGTTGGGAAGCTACCTTCGTCCATCATGGGTTGTGGCAAAACCAAAAATCTTCTTAGGCCTTAATTACACAAAAAACATTCATTTTTTTGTACTTATACAAATTAGTCTTTTGCTCCGTCTAAATCAATTCTTTCTTCAAAAGAATCATGATGATATGTATTTTTTAAACGTTGTAATATACAAATCGTGCCGACCTCATTGCCTAGGTTGTAAAGTGTAATGGTACTAATGAAAAAAAATTAAATCTAAATTTTTTTCTTGAAATTATCTTTTGGATACAATCTACAATAGATTACATCTCTGGTCTACTCCGCTCACTGTCACTGCCAATTTGCACATGAGTGTCATACAAATTTTACAAAGTCAATCCCTTACAAATATCTTTGACCAAGTTGCTACTTCTACGCAACGTTATCTTCTCTCATTTTAAACACATGTCATTTATTGTATTTTCTCTGTCAAATATGGTTTGCACCAGCTAGCCCGGCATAATATTGAATTGCTTTCAAAATAGGAAAGTTATACCACTATTAACAATGCAATCCTATTTCTCTTCAGAGAAAAAGTAGAGCTCATAACAATATAGGAGTATTTAATAGCTACTGTATTTAATTTAAGATGCAAGTATCTGTTGTAGTTTGGTACTCAGCTCTTGGCCTCTCTAGTATCTTGAGTTGCGTGCACCTCAAGCAACTCAGAATTGGTTATTTTCTGTTAGTTGTAACTAACCTTCTCCTTGGGTAGTGGCTATAAGTATATAGCCTCAGGAGGGAAAATATCAATCTGAACTTTTCATATATGAGTGCAAGTAGTGATGAAAAGAGAAAAAGAAACCGTGAGAATATCTTAGAGGGATTCTTAGTGATTCATAGCACTGAATCATCCTTGATGCGTAAGGTGTAAACTCTCAAATTCATATAGTGATCTGTCAGTTGGATTATGTCCCAGAGATGTAGGAGCAAATGGCTGAGATTCATTAACAAATTTTTGTGCTCCCTTTCTTTTTTTTCTCATTGCTTACTGTTTTATTTTGCATTATCGGAGTCTGTTTCTTTTTAGTTCGCGAGCATTAGCAATTTAGTTTTCTCTATGGTTTCAACTTAATAGATCGAGACTTAACAGTATCATTTCACAGTCGTAAATTTCAGTATGGATTTGTTCAATTTAGTTACTAAATCAACTAAACTAAAAGTATATATCAGGACAAATGACATGATTAAATATCTCCTTAGAAAGTTGCTACTTGCTATCAACTTGCAAGCTAATAAATAAACAACTTCTTGAAGGAAAACTCATTAGCTGACACAAAAAGGCTTGGTAAACAGGAAATCATGCATGACTTGACATATACGTAATCAAGGAAAAATCAAGATAATCCGAAGAAATCTGTAAAGACTACATCAAAAAAAGTTTTATTTACTAATCAACATACAGTAGATGGATAACAATGTGAGCTAACAACAAATTTCCCAGAGTTTCACTTCAGCAGAGAAAGAAGTGAAGAACAAACTAAAATAAACTGAGCAACAGTAATGATTATAACGGCGAGAACTAATTACAGATTTCTCAGAGTTTCACTTCAGCAAGAAGTATAAACGGCCATCTACATCATCAGCATTGCATTCATAAACCATGGTGATCTTCAATCTCTACCATTGGTTTAACCTGAGGCATGGGAGACATACCTGCAGTAGTGAAGCCAGTAACACACCCTACACGTCCATCAAAAGCAGAACAGGTTCCATCCGACACCAGACCTGAAGCATCTGATACAGTAGCCGCTCCTTCCGATGCTCCGTGTCCTTCACCTCCTAAGATAGAGTCATAAGCAGCCGCAACAGGATTGATATGCGGAAATGGCAAATACACACTGTGCACAACTATCTTCACATTGCGAATGACGTCAGCCACCTTAACTCTCACATAGTTAATTCTCATTGGTGCTAGTGTCACTCCTCCACCAGAGGTTGTGATCAGAAGCGGCTGGCCTCGTTCCAGTGTAGGCAGAGCAGTACCAACCGGAAGCTTCTCCAGATCAGTTATGGACAAGTAATGGTTAGGCACGATATGAAACCGTATATTGCTGATATATGACTGAGAACCGGAGAATACTGAAAGATCATCCACGGCGAAAATAGTCATGTTGTGGAGAGTTATGAGCTCTGCGTATTTTACCTTCATAGCAAGGGAGAGTATACTGAAACCGTTATTACGTAGCCTGAGCATTGCATCTCTGAGCATGAGGCGCATAACAGCAGGAAGCACCGTAGTTCCGTGAGTGTGAGCGTGAGCATGAGCATGTGCACCGGAGCGGTGATCCGGATGGAACGGGAAAGAGAGTGAAGTCATTCTTTCTACGTCGCAAGAAAACGGAGATAGCGTAGAGACGAAACCTTGAAGACCGTGAACCACAATCATTCCGTTGTTGAAGAGATCCGGCTGTGTGATCTCCACGCCTCCGATGAAGACCTTCGCAGCGGCACCGGTAGTATTGCTCTCATGAACAGAATCGGAAGTGACAGTTATACAACGACCGGGACTCAGTGTCTCGATCTTGGTGCCAAAAGCAAGTCTCCGCAAATACTCGATCGTGAACAGACCTGGAACAATGTGTTCACGGAGAAGGTTAGGAACAGAGCAAGAGAAGCAAGTCCGGAGTGAGCCATCGGAGGGAGCAAAAATCGTGGAAGGACCGCTCCAAGTTGATGAAGCAGTGGTTGAAGCATCAGACAATGACGGAGCCGCCGTTGCAAGCTCGTGAAAACCAAGATGAGACAAGATCGGTGGAAGCAATGCAGTGTGAGAGAAAAACGAATGTTCTTGAAGATCATTTGGTGGCGGTGGCGGTGTCATTGAAGGCGTGAATGAACCTTCGAGTCCTTCGGTAGCACTAACCTTGGGACCACAGAGCAAAGCAGCATAGAAGATTGCTACAATCAGCGAGAATCGCAGGGAGGAAAAGGAAGAAGAGATTTCCATGGTGGTTAGAGAAGAAAAAGAAGAAGCAATGATTCAAGTCTCTGAGAGTGAAAGTGAATGCGAACGCAAAATGAATCAAATGAAAAGAAGATACAGGGAGAACTATTTATATGTATAAACGCGCGCGCGAATGAAACGGTTAGAGAAATTTTGTAAGCGTGCGAGTTAGTTACGCGGTTGTTAGAGGTTAGAAAGTTTTTGAAAATTTTCGTTTGTAAGCGTGCGAGTTTTTCTCTTCTTTCTCTCAATCTGTTTCTCGCTTGTAGTCACATCACAGCCGCAAGATATTTTTTTTTTTTTTTTTAATTGAAGTGAAAAAGAAAATAGAAAATAAAATGTTGGTGGACCCGGGTCGGGGTTTGATATATCCGCAGAGAGCCATACATACACTATACAGATAGAGGAATAGAAAATGGCACTCTCGTTCTCACTCTCTTCAGGCGTAACTGTTTCTAACCGTTTTCCCTTTTCTTGTATTTGGAAACCGAATGGTAAGAGTTACAGTGGGCCCAATAAGGTGTCATGTTCAGCACGTAAGGAAAAGAGTCCGTTAGTTGGATTTGGTGTAGGGATTGTAGCGGCTTTCGTTATGGGTTTAACGGCGTTGGATGCGGATGCAACGAGAATTGAATACTATGCTACTGTAGCAGAGCCAATGTGTGAGCTCAATTACGCTAAGTCTGGGCTTGGTTACTGCGACGTTATTGAGGGTTTTGGTGATGAAGCTCCTCTCGGAGAGCTTATCAATGTTAATTTCTTACTTGCTCGTTCATTTTTTATATGTGGAAATTTAATTAGTTACTGAATTGATGATGTTATTATACATTGCAGATTCATTATACTGCGAGGTTCGCTGATGGAATCGTATTTGATAGCAGTTATAAACGTGGTAGACCTCTCACTATGCGTATTGGGGTTGGCAAGGTAGATATATAAGTTTTCGATTGCTGTTAGTTTCTTTGTGTGGTTACATCCTTTTGCTGAGTTTGTAATTTTAAGGGTGAATGAGATTTTTAGGTAATCAGGGGATTGGATCAGGGGATTTTGGGAGGCGAAGGAGTACCTCCAATGCGGATAGGTATTAAATTTGATTTAAGCGTATAAGTTTCCTTGATTACGGTATATGATATGATACTTGCTAAGTTAATCTGCCATTTTTTACGTAGGTGGGAAACGCAATCTAAGGATTCCTCCATTGTTAGCATATGGCCCTGAACCTGCAGGGTGTTTCTCAGGTTTCATTTCATTGATTATTAATAGTTGCATTATTTTTAGGTGATCATGGATAATCCCTTTTCTTAGACCTAAAATACAAAAAAAAAGTAGTAGACACTTGAATGAAGAGATGAATCACCGCTGTAATTGGTCATATGCATTGCACCACCCTTTACTATATTCTATATCAATGTTGTAAAAATTAGTTCTAGCGGTATTGCGGAATTTGAATAAATCACTACTGTTTTGGGATACTATTTAAATATAAAATGTTGCATGATAGTAGCTATGTGGTGCTGTTGCTCTGTAGCATAGTGGACTTTGTAAAAACGCCTACTTTCCACAATCTGCAAGTAAAAACATTGTTCTCTACTTTCACTGTTTGAATTTGTTTTTCTGCCTGTGTTTTTTTTTCATTGAAAGAATTAAAAGACCATCAATTTTATCCGGATGAGTGGATATTGAATGCATTAATATCGGATGGTAGATTTTGACATTTTTGTTACTGATTCAATAGGTGACTGCAATATACCCGGCAATGCCACTCTTCTGTATGATATTAAATTTGTTGGTATTTATTCGGGCAATAGGTGAACTACAGATGGATTGGGTGAGTTTTCTTATCTTTTGAAAATATTTTGTTCTTAGTTTAGATAGCCAAAATACTATCTAGCACTCAGATTGCTATATCCAGCTTACATTCTGTAAGCTATGCCCTTAAACTTGTTGGTTTCCTTTCCACATTATCTGAATTGTATGGACAAATTTCAAATCTTAACCATGTAACCAGAAGGCTTTTATGCATTTGTAGGTATATGCAGAACTTTCATGATAAAACATTGATCACCTGCATTAGTAGTTTAATCAGTTGGTTTTTATTCCATCTAGTAAGCAATGTTAGAATTTGCTGACACACATAATCATAGTTAAATCATAGGCTGCTTAGTATTTTGACACAGGGTTTTTGTGAATATTTTTCTTATGCAATAGGGAAAATGATGTTTGAACTAAAGATCTCATGCAAACTATTTAAACCCATCATTATTAACCTTATCCTAGTGGCTTAATGACTAAGTGATATTTAAGATGAAGAGTTTTTGTTTATAATCTAATATCATTCTCTGATTTGGATTGTCTAAAATACATATAATCATTATTTTTAATAGTTTAGAGCAATGAAATGGTTTTTTTTTTTGCTTGTGAATATGGATCAACTGGTTAGGCAGAACCTCCTTGCTTCCAGCTCTCTAGAGTTACTGCTCCTGGTTAGTGCGTTTGGACAAGGTTGACCTGATTACCCATTTTAAAAGTAAAGAGGAACCATTCCTGGTGATATATATAGATTAGACAAGTCTGGTGTATCTATATGCACATAACATGATGCAACTTTTGTATCTTTATTGTAAATGTAATATCTTTAATAATGATAATGATCTCTGTCTGAATGATAAACTAGTAAAATCTTTATATGATAATTGAGATTCCTACTACATGTATCCTTTATTCTTTTGATCTTCTTTTTATGTTGGGTGCAATAAAATGCAAAATACTGTCAATGTTTTTTCTTAGGTGAAGACAGGGGCCAAATGTTCAAGAACTAGGGAGCAAGCAATCGTGCAGGTTAGGCAAAATGAAATGCCAAATACTGTTAATGTTTATACTATTGGAAAATGAGTGAACCTTATAACTTTTGAGCCTTTAACAGTTATTTGCACCCTTTTTTATGTGCCCTTCATTTTTATTTAAACTTTTGGTGTGACCTGACCTTCATTAAGAAGTGTAGTATTGAGGTAGCGTGTTGTTTCCTTCCTCCAATACTATTTTTCCTTTTCAACTCCAGTTCCAACTCCAAGCACACAAGCAAAAATAAAAACTTTAATCACACAAGACATGTTTGTTTTATTTACCATTTAAACCCTGCAGGCCCTATTTATTTGCAATTCACACGTTTGTTCCACTTTTACACCCAATCCAGCTTTCCTTTCTAGGAGAAAAAAGACCATAACAATAGAAACAATTTCCTATCTTAGGTCAAGTCCCACCAAAAGTAACAACTGTAAAACTACAAGCAGGTGCAGTGTACAGTTCTGGAAAATAACAAAATTAGGAAATAAATGCAATGATAGCAGCAACGTCTCTTCTCATCCTTTTTCATGTAATGAAAAGTCCTTAATCTAGGGAAACAAGAGCTTGAAAATTGACCAGAACCAGGAAAAGTAAACAAGAAAAATGAAAGAACACACTAGACTAAAATATGAAAATTTACAGTACCGAGCTTAGAAAAAAGGAACTTTTTTTTTTGTTTACATGATAGAACATGCATTTGGGTTTTCATCACTGAACATATTGACATAAGGATCTTCATATCTTGTCATGGTTCCAGTGGTTGGAGCATTCTCCACTCTCCTCACATAACCAGGAGGAGCCCTCTTGTCATAAGAAGAAACAGCATATGGTTGAGCCACCAAGTTGTAAGGTACATAAGGCCAAATTTCAGCCTTCTTCCCCGTTGACTTAGCCTTCTTTAGCACCTTGTTTGGCTCCACAAACCCAGTTACTGTTACTTTCTGCTGTTTACGGTTAATCTCTACCGATTTTACCCCTGCAATCACCATTACATTTCATCAACTTCATGTTGAATGCCACTGGTAAAATGATAATAATACATGATGAAAAGATGAAAAGAATGTCACTTTACCACTTAGAGAAGAAAGGGTTTTCTTGACCTTAAGCTCACAGCCATCACAGTCCATTCTAACCTTAAGCTCTACAGTTTGTAACTGCTTCTTCTTCTTCTTGAGGTGCTGGTGACCACTGCTCATTAGATCAGACAAGTAATCCAAAGTTCCACCAACTCCCATTTCTGTATATTCAAAAGTAAAATGGTTTATAAACGAAAAAAATTTGAAAAATAACTTGTCAATTTAGATATAACATCTTGAGTGTCTCAAACAAGACAAAAACTATAGATTATAGAGAACTTAAGTGATTAAAAAATGGTGTTTTATGTTTGTGCAATGGAGCATGATTATGGTTGATAGGTGGGTTATGTCTTGAATGTACAGATAAATTTATATATTGAAAAATAAAAACTAAGGAAGGAAGTTTCTTTCTGAAAAAATGGTTTCCTTCCTTACCTTATAATAATGAATAAATAATGGTGCTATGAGAAGAACTTGCTTACTTTGGTTTGAGCTCGTTTGCTTGCATATAGGCCTACTTATAGAGGCGTTACTTTAATCAGTTCAAACAGAGGAAATGTCGTGGGCCCAACATACACCAGTAAACAAAAGTGTCTTTTCCCTATTTTTATTCTTATGTTTTCATTTTATGTATTGTACCACATGAAATTCAAAAATACCCTGCAAAAGTAATAGGACACTGTATTTGAGACTAGTTATATTGTACATTGCACAAACCTTTTTCCTACCATTTGATCAGTAACTTTTATCATATCACACTTGATTTAATGGTATGACTTGTTGATCTAATGGTGTAAATAAATTTTAACATAACAAGCATTTGTTTTAGTTGTGTTTGATAGAACTACTCTGTATTTGATATCATATTTTAATTTTTAAAAAATATCATATCTCAATTCTTATTAATATATAAAATATGTTAAACATAATAAAAATGTTATAAAGTCATATTATAATTATATTTTTAATACACACTATTTGATTGGTTAAAATTTATATTTGAATTACACAATTTATATGAAAATTTATAATTTTGTAGGATATGTTTATTTAAATTCCAAACATATATTTTGTTATTTGATATTTAAACTCTTATGAATCGACCAAATTCGAATCAAACCAATGTTCTAACAAAACTATGGTGTTTGGTTCAAATATTTTTTTAAAGTTGGAAAAATTTGAACTAATTCAAAAGGCATAGTATTCGAAATGCCGAGTTCTTTATGCATTGATCTATTGATTCCTGTTATCTTTCACTGTCTGCGTCGAGTTAACCTCAATCAAAAAGTTCAACGAAGTCTCAGTTATTTAAATGTCCATTAGAAATATAATAACAGGATGATAATTGCATGACATTTTTTTACGGAAAAGATTTAATGCATATCATTAATAGTAATAAATTGTTAAATACAGGTTGAGATATCAATAAAATTATGAAAATTAATAAGAGATAGAGTCACTTTTGTCAAAGTATGAGCAACTTTGTTAACTTGTTTCTGCTCTGCATTTCGAATCTACTTCAAAATTTATTCCATCCAAACTAAGCTCAAACACCCATTGTATGGCAGTTAGGAGGCATAAAGCTTCTCCCGTATTCACTTCGATAATTGGAGACATCCACTATATTCTAACAACCTTGTCCCTCTTCATCACAAACACAAATACCTATACCAACCTTATTGAAATTTATTTAAGAAGACGCATCTATGTTACATTTGAGACGAGTTGTAGAAGGCTTTCTATACATATTCTTCGTAGAGACTTCATTTTGCATAGAGCTAGAATAAAGATGTTGGGCATTCCTCCATCCTAAAAGGATATAAGAGACACGGTCACAAATTTTTTTTTTTACTCTTCAGTATAATTTCAAATATGATAATTGTTACCCTTTCAAATACTTTAAATATGATTAAAATCAAAGCTTGTTGGTCTTGCAAAACTTGTCTTGTATCATCTTGGTATTGTAATTAATTTTTAAATAAAAAATAATTATTTTTCTTAAATTAATAATTTATCATCAACTCTAACAAATATTAAAAATAATATATTAAAAAATTAAAAAAAAATCCAAAATAATATACTAATGCATAACAAAATGATTAATATTATAAATTATTAAAATAAATTATTTTAAATTATTAATAACAGATTCAAAATGAAATGAGTACTAATATCTCTATTATCAATCTGTTCATATTTAATTAAAAGTTTAAACACAAATTCAAATTTAATTAAAAGGAGTTTTCTTCATCAAATTCGACATGAGCGCGGCGAATACTCTTATATTCTAACTTTGTTGTCATGTTAACTTGACACCTCTCATATACCATATGACAGAGCACATTTACCAATAAAGTATAAAAGATACACTCCTTTTCTAGTATATACGAAGACCAAAATTTCTACAAACAGAGAGACGTAATAATATACGCTCACACTTGACTTTACAAAATTGTTTTTGTAATTTATATTATCAAAATCACAAATGACAGAAGCCACGACGAATGCGTTTGGTTGGGATTTTTGGGAACATTCATGTAAAACAGCTGTTAAAAGAGTTGGTGCATAATGATTAACTCCAAAATATGAGTTATCTTAAAAGAAAATTTCAAAATATGATTTTTTTTCTTTTAATTTTGAAAACTTCTTTAGTCCTATGCTCAATGCACATGAGGATATTTTGATTTTACTTTTATTTTATTTTAGAGTTAAATATATTTAATGTTCTCGTAAATATTTCAAATTTTGTTTTTATTTTTTTTAGATATGTTTTTCAAACAATCTGTTAGCTCCTAATTTCGACGCCTGAATGAAATTAAATGTAACAAATAGAGTTTCTGAAGAGATCTAATTACTTCGACTGGAGCCATATTTTAAAATGGGAGTCGAATGCGTTCTTTTGCCAAGAGAGTCTATGTTATGGACTTAGCAATTTTCCTCAGCAGTTGGAAGACTCGATTCGACAGAGGTGTCACTAAGGGTATTTCGACGAGTTCATTTGAATTCAAATAAAAGAGGGAAAATTTGTTTTCAAAGGTGACACGTGGAGCACTTCTAAGATTCGAAGGCATGCATAGAGACACTTGTCTTGATTTCGTTTGTTAGCCGTTAATGGCAGTTATTTTTTATTATTATAAATAGCAGGTCTTAGTGTTAGGATTGAGTGTGTTCAATTGTGTACAATTTCTTTAGTATACTCCAAGTATTTGTGTGTTGAGAGAAACGAGTTTGTAAGAATGTACGTTGATGTAACACCAGTTTTTCGTTTCAATGCAATTTAATAAATTTATTTCTTTAAGAAGTTATTCTTTCTTTATGCAAGTTATTATCTTCGTCATTTACCAGTACTTTGATTTTACTTATTGTCACCTAAATTTATTTACATTTGAAATAAGTTGCTTTATCATGGACTCTGTCGAAGTGATCATAGTTTTTATAAACTTTATTTAAGATCAGTTAGTACATGTCCTAGAATTTGTGTGGTTGATCCTGCAAGTAAAACAAATATTTTTTTCGATTTGTAAGACCAGCGGTTGTTCACCAATTTTTACGGCAAACACAATCGTTCTCTTAAATTTTTTGTCCATAAAATTAGCCCATCCCATTAAAACGACTTAATGTTGTCTAAGTATAAAGGAAAATTGGATAATTTGCAACAAGTGGCATAATGATGTGGATTGTTTATTTAAATAGTGATTTTATTAATAAAATGTGGATAGAAACCCTAATTTCTCTGTATTTTCTTCTTATTCGTTTTCACTACAAGTCGAATCTCCTATTGCTTCTTCACCGCAACCGTCAAATCTCCTTCTTCACTGTAAGTCTTTTTCGAAATCTTGCTCCAATTTCAAATTCCTCAAAGCGCAGCAAATTAGGTTATTCGCGTTACATAACTGTGAGAAACCATACAAGTATAAGGTACGCTTGTAATGCTCGTTTAATATCACACAATTGCAAGAATGGACATAACAAAGGAAAGTTTTTCTGGAGATGTCCATTTTGCCAGAGTGAGAAAACTTAGAATTTATTCATATGGGATGAAGACCTAGCACAAGGGATATGACATTGGAGCCTTCAATGTATCGACTCCTTCTTAGCTTGTATCGACTCCTTCAGTTTATGTATTGACTCATTCCAGTTTGGAGTCAATACATTCTGTACCAAGTTTCTAAATTTGCATTTTGGCTAAAAATTTGTTTTGCTCATTTCTTTTCTACACGCACATACATATAAATATGCATTCATGCATCATTTTTACAAAAGAAAAAATTGGAACCTGAAAGATACAAAAATTTGCATCATCTTTAACATTTCTTTGCATGCATTCAACAACTACACATAATCATTTTTGTTGTTTGTTATCAAGATAAGATTTATAAGGTCCAATTTATGTTGGTGTAATCAAATTGTTTTGAGTCTTTCTTTGGGGGTTTCATAGGTAAAACCTTTAGGGTTTTTACTCTAAGATCAAGGGTTGATTTGGAGGTTTTTGCACAAGTCTTTGCTACTTGGATTCAGCCGAGTGAAAGCTTTGAAGAATGGGGGTTCTTACAAAGGAGTAACGGTAATCGGAGGATCAATTGAAAAACTTGGGGCAAGATTTCACAATTTGGATTCAGTCGGTGAAAGCTTTGAAGACCGAAGGTTTGGTCAAAGGAGTAGCGGTAATCGGAGAATCAAATTGGAGGTCTTGTATGACTTGATCTTGTTAAGATAAAGGAAACAGAAGGAGCTAGGATCAACATCAAACATAGGGTTTAGGGGTTTGAATTACGACTACTTTTCTTGTAAACTAATATTGCAAATATTAATTACAATACCACAATTCGATTTCGAATTTAGGACAGACGTACCCATAGTGAGGACAACTAGGGAACTGCACAAACAAATTTTGGTGTTCTCTCTCTCTCTCTCTCTCTCTCTCTCTCTCTCTATATATATATATATATATATATATATATATATATATATATATATATATATATATATATATATATATATATATATATATATATATATATATATATATATATATATATATATATATATATATATATATATATATATATATATATATATATATATATATATATATATATATATTTATATATATATATATATATATGAAATTTTGATATGCAGATCTCAAATATTCTAAG